GATAGATAGATAGATAGATAGATAGATAGATAGATAGATAGATAGATAGATAGATAGAATTTTTTATTTGTTTATTTTTTTCAAAGGGTTTTATAGAAGTTGTTTTGCTATGATTCTTTTTACACACTAAGAAATTTTGGTGGCTGTGTAAGTAAGTGTATCTGGTTTGTTCAACAACTCTGTTTTTACTACTCCATATCCAACATACATTCATTAAATGAAGGATACTTCATTTAATATGGCAATGTAGTTATTTAAGAAATGGATACTGAATTGTACCCTTCAAATAAATATGAAAATGCTCATTTTAATGTTGAAATTGGTAGAGCTGATTTTAACAAAATAAGAAATATTATTGTTGGTATTTATAGACTTTTATACAAATACAGCACAAAATAAAATATTAAAGTCATTAACATAATTGTTTTTTGTGATGATTGGGAGGTGTTTTTTTATAATAATTAGTTTTTGATGTTTGAGTTTGTTCTTATCTAATGTTTGTTTTGAATGAGTTTGGTTGTTTGGTTATGAGTTTTTTCTGGTAGATGATTTCATAGACTTTGGTTGCAATGTGCACATCTGGTTTTCAGTGGAAATCAGCACACCTGTTTTCACTCACTCATCATTACTCAACTTACAGACTGATTAACAAATAACTTGCATTGTGGTACAAGTATGTTAAGAAAGCAGTATTTTGTTTAAGCTTAAACAAAATGTTAATGTGTACTTTTACACATCTGAATGTTTACCTGATAAAAAAATGAATTTCTGAAGGCATTGTTGAAGTAGTTGTTGCTTGGGAGGCTAGCTGCTATCTGGAGTGATATGGCTGGAGTCTGTTTGTGAGGAAACAAAATTATCTTTTAATAATATACTTAGCTTTATCCTACCATTAATAATGAGAGAATGAGAATGTGTTTCACTGCACATAAATCAGCACCAAATAACAAAAGTGATTTTTTTTTCTTTTTTATCAAAATTCAGTTCATAACTTTCACTATAAAAAAATGATAGGATGTTTTCTGTTCAAATGAAATAAGTACTAGTTTCCGGTTGTGCAGTGTGTCCATCAGGAACAGTCCATGCTGGTAGACCAGGAACTCTCTGGGGTTGAGGACTGACAGGCTCAAAGGGATCAGCTCTCCCTCACATTCCCATTGAGCATCGAGGGCATCGATGAAACTCTGACCTCTGTCACCTGAAAAGAAAATACACAATAACCGCATTGTATTGATATCCAGTTAGATTCATTTGTTTGCACGTTGTCCCAAACATTTCCAATGTTCCTGGGTGAAAATAACTTAACTTACCACAGAGCTCTTGTTCAAGAAGACCTGCCTTACCAGCCCAGACCCTCAGCTGCAGCTCCACTTCCTTTAACAGCTGGAATAGAGGAGAAACCTCCAACAGCCTTTTCCACTGTTCATCTGGAAGAGAATATAAAAATGCATTGAAAAGCTAAATTTCACATTCTGTTTTAGAGATCTCCAACTAATGGTCTGCAGGCCAAATCTAGGCCATGATGTCATTTCATCTGGCTTACAAAGAATGAAATGATGAAGCCAAAAGCAATCTGAATTACAGGGATATTTTTTATTATTATTTTATCCTGTGTTTCAGGAAAATGAAATACACAAGCATTGTGTTTGAACCTAGCATTGTGCAACCCTAATTTTGTTGACAATTTTGGCTTTTTTGTCCAATGCTTTAAAAAAATAACAAAATAGCACAGCCAATGTTGTCTATTTACTATATGGCAGCAGAAAAACACAATTTACCAGAAACATGGCTTTTTTTGTTTTATTTTAATACTGTGTGAACTTGGAGGCCACAAATAATTTTTACATTGGGACTAATAAGGAGGTATTTTATGGATACTACCTGGAAATGTGGGGACAACTATATGTGCAGAATGAGGAGACTCCTTCATCTCTTGGCTCTCTGGAAAGAAATRAAAACAAAATAAGCTTCAGCAGGAAGACTTTTTATTACTGACTACAAGTTCACAAGTTTGCATACATTAACATTGTATTTGGAAGCAGTCTTGGAAGCATTGTCTGTCTGACTTGGGTCAGACATGTTGGGTTTCCTTCCACAAGCTTTCCACAATAGTTTCCTGGAACTTTGTCCTATTCCTCCTGACAGAACTGGAGCACTGAGTCAGATTTGTAGGCCACCTTTCTTGCAGACACCTTTTCAGCTCTTCCAACAAATTTTTTCACGTGAGACTGAGAGCATAGCATCGTGATGGCCACTCCAAAACACTGACTTTGTGGCGTCTTTGTAACGATTTGTCCCCAAAACATGTTCATGTCGGGAACACCCATCTTGATTTGATTTGATTTATTGATTTAACAGGAAAAGATTAATAAAAATCAAGCCTGACTCAGCATAATTGCTGTTTTACAGCA